GTTTTTGTTTGTTTGTTTGTTTTTAATGGAAGTAATGGGGGTTGAACCCAAGACCTCATGCATGCTAAGCATGCCTTCTATCCCTGAGCTATATCCACCCCACCCAACTTTCTGTTGTTTTTAACCACCAAGTTTCTGATAACATGTTACCACCATCCCAGGAAACTAATACACATGGATTTTACTTCTCTTATGTTCATATCTTCAGTCATTTTGATGTGTATCCTTTCTTGCCTCTCAGGCTGGGGCCTTCCAAATGGCAGAGACGGTCCTTTCTGCACAACTGGGCTCTGCCTCTGTCCCCAGGCTGGGCTGTCCTGAGGTCCCCTCCTACCTTAGGATCCCATCCCCTGTGCCCAGCCAGGTCTCAGCACACAACGCGGGCTCTGTGGGGGGCTGCCTGGCCCTGCCGCTTCACCTGTTTGCATTGGCATTGGTTTCCCCCCCTCCCCAGGCTGGTACAGGGAGATTCACCAACCACAAGAGGCGCCACCGCAGGCTCCTCCTTTATCCCCAGTCCCCCTTCCTGGGGCGGCTGGAGGAGGGGCAGGGAGGGAGCCTCTTTTGGGTCCCACTGACTCAAGTGAGAGGGAAGAAGAGCTTTCCCTGTGTCCCATGCTCCAGGGATTCTATCTGTGGTTCCCTGCCGGGGAGAGAGCCGGGGTGGCGGGCGGCACAGAGGAAGCGGGCGTCGGGCTCTTGCGCTCCCTGAGTCCCTTGGGATGTTGCATTTTTCTCTGGAGAGCACCCCCCCTCACCTCTCCACCCCACAGCCGACAGCAACATGTCTCCTAACAAAAACGTTTGTCCTTCAGCCAAAATCCCTGCTGCCTCTCACTGGGGAAATTGCAGGGCTGGGCTGGGGTGGGGGACCAACCTCTGGAAGGGGATTAGGAGTGTCTGTCAGAGTTGGTTGGGGCGGAGTGGGGCGGGGCGGGGCCCTCGCTTACTCACATCCTTGAGCGTCCTCAGCCGGGCAGATCTGGGAAGCCCTCAGCCTCAAGTGTCTGCCTCAGCATTGTCTTCGGGGCTACTAGGCCCTGGTGGCGGTGGCGAGTGTGTGGGGAGGGCGGCTCCCTGACTTCTGCTTTGGTGGCGGTTGGGGTGGGGGGGAGAGGGAGGCTCCCCTTCCCTTCTGGGAGCAGTTGATCTTAGGAGGAGTGTTGGAGCCTCCAGCGGGGGCTGTTGGGGCCTGTCTTGGGAGATGGGACGCGTCAGGCAGCCCCAGACACGACCACATTCCTCTCGACATGCCTGCCGGGGTCTGTGCAGCTGAGGGGTGGCGGGAGGGTGGGGCGAAGCCAGAGAGGGTGCCTTGGGAGGTTGTCTGGGAGACATGGGATAGCTGAGGTTCCGATACACAAACCTACAAGGCAGCCAGATGGACCCCTGGAAATGTCCCCTGATCCTTGGGGCCTCAGTAGTCAGGGACCCTTGAATCCACTCTCAGGTCCCTGCACTGCCCCCAACACCCCCCAAATGCAAACATCCTTTGGGTCAGCTCCACAAGCATCTCAAACAAAGTTACCTGAGCCAGACCCTCCCACTGGGGCTGCCCTGGGAGCCTGAGAAGACATCTGGGGCTGGAAGCAAAAAGGCCCCTTTCAGTCTTGTTCCAGGGGTTCTATTCCACCCCCTTTGGGGCTCAGCCTGGGCTACACCAATGCTACCCAGACTTCATGCCACACTCAGCTTACAAAACCCTTCTACATCCACTGTAATGTTGGATTCTCAGAGCTGAGTCTGCAGTAGGCAGGGTGGGTGGTATTTACTCCCACTTTACAGATGAGCAAGCTGAGACCCAGAGAAGTGTCAGGTCCTGGGTCACTCAGGGGTAAATGGTAGAGCCAGCACCCAATCTGACTCCATGCTCTTTCCAAATGTCTCCTGTAATACCATCTGCCCTTGGCCCGAGTGAGCAACCAATGCCATGGACCCATCCACAGGTGTGTGGAGGAGCTTAGGGTCTGTGCCCAGGGCTAGGGGGAGCCACCTGGATTTCCCTTTACTAGGGGTGTCAAGGTGTAAACCTGAGCCACCTGACTCCTAGTTGAGAATGCTTCAGGGATGTGACAGGACCCCTAGTGAGGCCCAGCAGATCAGACTTGGGAGGGTCTCATTTTATAGTTGGTAATGCTGAGGGGTGACCGGGCCATGCTGGTGTCCTCCAGCCAGGTGCCACCTGGAGTGGTGGGCTTCTCCTAGGTGAATGTCAGAGGCCCATCTAGTTAATGGGGAACTAACAGGTCGCTAGCTTTGTGGTGCACAGAGGCCCTACTCCTGCCACCTCGCTGAGCCCAGCATGTGGGCTCTGGAGAGACACGCTGCTGGGCCCTGAAGGGAAAGTGTAGCCTGCAGGCCCACACCTCCTCCTGTGAATCACACTTGGCGGGACAAGAAACCCCAAACACTCAGAACAATGAGTTTCCAGTAAAATATGACAGACGTGATGAGGCGGCGAAGAGGAGGGATCTGGCTGGGAGTTGGCACTGGCACCTGGATGACGAAAGCCAAGGGGAATGGAAAATGCCAGGCCCGCCCCTACCCAGGAGTATAAAGAAGCCCTGCATCCTTTTCGAACTCAACCTGAGCACCTTTCCCTTCTCTCTTCGACTTGCTCGCTCACTCACTCACCTCTCTCCTCGGCATCATGACCACCTGCAGCCGCCAGTTCACCTCCTCCAGCTCCATGAAGGGCATCGGCGGTGGCGCCAGCCGCATGTCCTCTGTCCTGGCCGGAGGCTCCTGCCGGGCCCCCAGTGCCTATGGGGGTCTGTCTGTCACCACCTCCCGCTACTCCTCCGGAGGGGCTTGCGGGCTGGGAGGTGGCTACGGTGGCGGCTTCAGCAGCAGCAGCAGCTTTGGCGGGGCCCTGGGTGGCGGCTTTGGTGGAGGATATGGTGCTGTTCTTGGTGGTGGCCTTGGTGGTGGCTTTGGTGGTGGCTTTGGTGGTGGCTTCGGTGGTGGTGATGGGCTCCTGGTGGGCAGTGAGAAGGTGACCATGCAGAACCTCAACGACCGCCTGGCCTCCTACCTGGACAAGGTGCGCGCCCTGGAGGAGGCCAACGCCGACCTGGAGGTGAAGATCCGCGACTGGTACCAGAGGCAGCGTCCTGCTGAGATCAAGGACTACAGCCCCTACTTCAAGACCATCGAGGACCTGAGAAACAAGGTGGGTGGGCCAGGCAGCGGGAGGTGCCATTCCTGCCACCTCACTCAGGAGCAACAGGTGCCTCACACCACTGGCAACTTCAGATTCCCAGACAGGACAGCCTCCAGCCCCGGACCCCTTCTTCTAGCTCTGAATGCCCCGAGTGGAGCCGATCCATGAGAAGAAGGCCTCCCTTCCCCCATCTTGCTCATGCCTCTCTGGGCCCCTGATCCTCAGACCATGAGAGACCAGGGATTCCTACCCTTATGTTGTACAGAGGAAGAAGTTGAGACTTTGGGCTGTCTGCCCAAGGTCACACAGCAAATGAATGGCAGGACCAGGGCTAGAACACTTGTGCCTCACCTGCCAGGACAGGAGACAGCTACCTGTTCTCCAGCACAGGGGAGGAGCGAGGCTGTAACGGGACCAGGCTAGACAGCCAAACCGCTCATTAGCTCATTAGTCTGGGCTGTGGCGGCTGCCGCCCATGAGCCCTGGCACGGGCGGCCCCTCCCCATGGCCAGGAGGGCGTGGGAAACCCACAGAGACAATCAGTGGTGGCCCACCTTGCCTGCCCTGCACAGGAGGGGGCTTGTGTCATCTGCCTCCAGCCCCCTGCTCCCTGCTCCTGCTCCCAGGTCACACCGGGGTCCCTCCCGGCTGATCCTGCTCCCCTTGATTTTCTGACTGATGCTTTGCATGGATTAGAGAAATTAGATGATAGCGGAGGGAACTGTAGCCAATCCAGGGCTCAATCTACTTTTTTTCCCCTCTTCTATTTCTTTTCTAGTCCCCTGTGCCAGCTGGATCTCAATGTTTGGGAAAGCCCCACTTGAGGTTCTGTGCTCTGTGGACTTGAAAAGGAGTGTCTGTCTGTGCCTTCAGAGGACTGGCAGGGCTGGCTTGTGCAGAGAGAGGAGAAATCAGATTGGGAAGGAGGCCTGGAGAGCCTGGTCACCCCTCCTCTGTGGGTGGAAAACTTGAGGCCCTAAGTCGGTGGTTGAGCCAGGACCAGAACTCAAGGGCTTTTTACTCTAAGACCAGCGCTCTTTCCATCTGCTCTGCTGACCACGGGTCAGCCACATCCTGGGTCCAAGCTGGACCACTGGGGGTATCCTTTAGGCCACTGTGGTAAAGGCTTGTGGGGAGTAGGGGGGCTCAGGAAAAAGCATGAAAGCAAAGGACTGATGCAGTCTGCAGTCAAGGCTGGCTGGCGCTGTCCATTTGACCAATGACCTGTGCCCTTTCCACCTGCAGATCCTCACGGCCACCGTGGACAATGCTAATATTGTGCTGCAGATTGACAATGCCCGCCTGGCTGCTGATGACTTCCGCACCAAGTGAGTTTGCAGTGGTGGCCCAGAACAACCAGTCTCCCCTGGGTGGGGCATTTTTGGAGCAGTGTTCCCTAAACAGAGTTGACGAGGCCTGGGATGGCTGTGTGAAAACCCCTTGGGGGTGCTTATAAAAATACATGACTCTTGGGCCCCACCCTTAGGATTCTGATTCAGTTATTTTTTAACAAGCTACCTGGGTGATTCTGAACCACAGCCAGATTAGGGAGCCACTACTTTAGGGAGAGAGACTTCCCACTTTTCCATCTGCCCCTGAAGTGTAGGAAAGAGTCATATTTGGGGGCCTTGTGTGCTACTGGTTGGCTGAAGCCAGAAGCATCTCCCCTTCGTGAATTCTATAGCATGATGAACTATCTTATTCCCTGCACCACCCTCCTCCTGTCCTGGAATGTTCAGATCTGAGCAATAATGGGCATTGATTGTGTCCATCTGTGCCACTTTCAAGATTGGGTCCCTAAGCCACCCACAGGGTGTCAGGTGTGGGCAGAAGCTGTGGAGGGGAGAGAACAGAGCCTTAAGTGTGGCCAGGATGGGCCTCTCATTCCTTTCCCCCGGGTCATTCCAGGTACGAGACGGAGCTGAACCTGCGCATGAGCGTGGAAGCCGACATCAACGGCCTGCGCAGGGTGCTGGACGAGCTGACTCTGGCCAGGGCTGACCTGGAGATGCAGATAGAGAGCCTGAAGGAGGAGCTGGCCTACCTGAGGAAGAACCACGAGGAGGTGAGAGCTAAATGGAAGCCAGCTTAGAGGGTTAGCTGGGAAGGAAGAGATGGAACTGAGATGTTGGAGGGCTAGTTCAGGCCAGGAACACCTCTGACTAGGGACCGTCGACTGGCTGCCATAGTAGGTCCCTGACTGTGGATTGTTCCTTGGATGTGCAGGAAATGAACGCCCTGAGAGGCCAGGTGGGCGGAGACGTCAATGTGGAGATGGACGCTGCCCCTGGCATAGACCTGAGCCGCATCCTGAACGAGATGCGCGACCAGTACGAGAAGATCGCGGAGAAGAACCGCAAGGACGCCGAGGACTGGTTCTTCAGCAGGGTGAGTGGCATTCAGAGGGGAAGGGACCTGGGGTGCTTGCCTCCTGGGAGCTTCCAGTGCGAATGATGTTTTTTATTCTGCAGACGGAGGAACTGAACCGCGAAGTGGCCACCAACAGCGAGCTGGTGCAGAGCGGCAAGACCGAGATCTCCGAGCTCCGGCGCACCGTGCAGAACCTGGAGATCGAGCTGCAGTCCCAGCTCAGCATGGTAGGGGCGCTATCAGGCCTGGGGTAAGCCCAGGGCCCTGGGGGAGGGATGACCACCTTCACTCACCCCCAATCTTTTTTCCTTCTCTCACAGAAAGCATCCCTGGAAAACAGCCTGGAGGAGACCAAAGGCCGCTACTGCATGCAGTTGGCCCAGATCCAGGAGCTGATCAGCAGTGTGGAGGAGCAGCTGGCCCAGCTGCGCTGCGAGATGGAGCAGCAGAACCAGGAATACAAGATCCTCCTGGACGTGAAGACCCGGCTGGAGCAGGAGATCGCCACCTACCGCCGCCTACTGGAGGGCGAGGACGCCCAGTGAGTGCCCAGGCCCCCTTCCAGAGCTGCCCCCACTGTTAGTCACTGCCCCTCCGTGTGTCTAATGATCTTGCCCTTTCCTATCTTCACAGCCTCTCTTCCTCCCAGTTCTCCTCTGGCTCTCAGTCATCCAGAGATGGTAAGACTTTCCTCCTTATCAAGCCTGGACTCAGGACCACCCCTGTCTCCCAGCAGGTCTAGGATGTTGGATGGGGGTTCTGGAAGGGTAGAGCTAGGGTTTCCTCACCCAGTATCCCTTATGCACCTCTTTGGGAAGAAGAAACCATTTTCTAATCCCTCCTTAGGGCTAGGAGCTGGTGGCCCAATGTTTGTGGTGGACCCCGTTGTTTTGGCAGTCAGCACCGTGGACAGAGCCCCACATGGGTCTTCCCACCAAGACCAGTTCATTTGGGCAGATCTGGACTGAACCAAACTCTTGAGTTATTAGAAATCTTCAGTCTGGGAACTCAGACTCTGCCCCTGACCTTAGGGAGCCCTAGCCTGAAAGAAATGTGCTGATGGTTGCAATGCTGGGGCAAGGTCAGTGGGTGAAGTGGTAATCAGGGGAGAGGGCAGCAGGGAGACAGTTCATTTAAGTCCCTGCAGCTCCTTGGCCTCCTCACTCCTGGTTTCTTCATTGTTTGTCTTTCGCTGGTAACACCCTCTCTCCCCTCTTCCCCAGTGACCTCCTCCAGTCGCCAGATTCGCACCAAAGTCGTGGACGTGCACGATGGCAAGGTGGTGTCCTCCCACGAGCAGGTCCTTCGCACCAAGAACTAAGGCTGCTCTGCACTGCTCAGGCCTAGGAAGCACTCCCACCATGTGGACACAGATTTCACTGGGGGATCCCCTCTCCCATCTCCCTGCATCCAAGCACTTCACACCTGAGCCCTGTTTCACCCTTGCCCCTCCCAGCAATCAATAAAGCTTCATTATCTGAGTTGCACAACTCTTGCATCTGCCTGGTCATTGTCAGGAGTGGAGGTGGGGAGAAAGCGGGGGAAGCATCTCCTTGGAGCTCTCAGAGCATCTGGCTACGGCCTCTGGTGCTGGGAGAAAGGACACGGGGGCGGATTGGGCTCAGGTCCCAGGATTGCTTTCATCATCCCAGAAGATAGATGTGTGTACCAGGTCATTTGTGGTGTCTCCTGGGGGCATGGAGGAACGTTTGTTCATTCAGTCACTCATCTATTTACTTATTTATTCCTTCATTCATCAGATATTACTGAGTGCCTTTTGCATGCCAGGCACTGTGCTAGGTTAAGGATTCTTACATGTTTGTCTTCAGGTATTCCTCTGAGAATATATTGAAAGCTACAGATGTCTTCCCACACATTTGCATATAATTCATGAGGTTCTTGACTTTCCTAAAGCTTATCAATGGAGGTCCATGAACTCTTATGTTTTGCTGAGAGTTTTGTCTCCCTCCGTCCCACCTGCTCTTGTCTCCAGAGCTGGGTCTAAATCCTGCCTGCTCTTAGTTGACATAGAGCAAGTTGATTAGCATCTCCAAGCCTCAGTTTCCACATCTGTAAGTTGGGTACAACAACACTACCTACCCTGGGAAATTGTTGTGAGGATTTGCTGGAGGATTCACATGTCAGACCTCTAACACAGTGCCTGGCACGCTGCAGTCTCAGGGCACGGCTATGAGTGATGCTGTGTGAGCTACCTCTTATACATGGTGACTCTTGTCCATAATGAGGGCGTTTTTGGAGGCTTTAGGAACAGACTGACTGGTTTCCAACCCTGGCTCTGCTCTGAATTAGCTCTGTGACCTTGGAGAGTCTCAGTTTCCCCACTTGTCCAGTAAGCATGGTGAACTCTTGCTTCTTGGAGTTGATATGGGAACCCAGTGAGTGAATGCACATCAAGACCCAGGTTTGTAGGAGCTTCCTCTGGTGGGGAGTGTCTTTTCCTTTTTTGGGGGGTGGGGGCTGGAAAAGGAGGAGGAAGGGAAGGATATCGCCTGAGTGAGTAGTGGAGATTCCAGAGGTAGGTAGGGCTCACTGCCCCGAGCTAGGAACGAGTTGACTAGTCACTATGTCAATTTCAACAGCTCATTCATTTGGCTGCATGAATGAACCTTTGAGGGGGAGTCAAGGGTGGGACTAGGATTAAAGAAAAGAGTTACTCTTTGAAGGAAAGGGGGCTAAAAGACTGGGCTTTGGAATCTGACATCCTGATTTGGAGTTGTGGCTCCTACACTGAATAACCCGGAAGAGTCTGGGCAAGGTCCTCTTTTGCAAAATGGAGAAAGAAAACCCTCACTGCATAAGGCCACAAAGGATTAAATGATCTCATGCAAGAATGAGTTTTATCATCGTGGTTGGCACATAATCTGCTCTATAAATGGAAGCGTAAGAGCATGAGTTGTTAGGAAAAGGAATGAAGTAACATTGGTTTCTTTTGACCTCATCTTCACCTCAGGGAAGAGAGTTCTAGAACTCCGAGATGTCATTTTACCTGAGTTTTCACTCTAAGAAAGGTTGATCTAGGGTGATCTTTGGGGGAGGGTGGACCATTATGGAGATGAATGACAGTTTTAGAGGTAGGAGGGGACAGTTCAGGGAGGAGGGAAGTTTGAAGGAGAGTGGGAGGGATGGTTTTGTGGCCCGAAAAGTGGTAGGACCCTGGAGGGGAGGGACTGTGTGATTCTTGTAGGGGTGCTGGACCCTGGGGAACCAATGTTCCAAGCTGGGCAATGAACTCAAGTGGCATGGAATCTGGGGAGTGGTCCACATTCAGGAGGGCAGAGAGCAAAACATATCCACAGTCACTGATGAGGACTGAGGTCTGGAATACTCAGGACTGCGTAAGAATCCCCAGACATCACTCTGCCTTGGAGGAGGTGCCAGATTAGAGTTTCTACTCCCAAAGAGGATCTGCTTTAGAGGAACACAGAAACGTGAGATTTCTTAGACCTGGGTGTGATGGGTCAGTTTCCTCTCCTCTCGAGTGTTTGGGGGGAATCGAGGGACAGTGGGCTTGCTTGATGGTAAAGGTGTACCTGGGGGCCACCCGGCTGAGAGCAAGCTCAGAAGTGGGAGGCAAGGAATTCAAGCAGTGTGCTATGAGGTGGTCTAACCCTGTGTGCTGGGCCCTAGAGGGAAGGCAGACAGGGCAGCTGTCCCAGGGTCCCCCATGGAGTCCCACCTCTCCGGTGTCCCACCACCACCATCATACTCCACTGAGAAGAGTGGAGCCAACACTTTGGGTCCAGCTGCTGACCAGTGCTCTCGTCTCTAGGGCCTGGTGCCACAGGTCCCCAACTAAAGATCTGAGTCATTCACAGCGACAAAGACAAGACCGCCTCCCCCGCTGCCACCAAGGTCTAAATGACAGGAAAACAAGAAAATGACTCCATAGCATGGTCTAGTGGGGGCAGCAGGAGCCACCTCTCAGGGTCCTGGGGGCGACCACGTGGCCCCTCTGGCTCCACTTCCCCCAGAGCAATTAGGAAGGAGTGATCTTCTCCCGCCCTCAGCACAGAGAAGGGCAGCGTGGAAAGGGCTGTGCAGCCGGCTCCTCCCACCTCCTCCTCTTCAGGGTACAGGGACCTGCTTCAGGTCCTACAGACTGAAAAATGGCTGAGCCCAGCCCCGGTTCCTGGTCAGGCTTGTGCTTCATTTCTGTTCTGGAGTCCCTCAGGATGAAGCTAAAAGCCCAACAGGACCAGCACAAATTTTTTGCAGCTGACTCCAGGGTTGCTGTTTTATGGGATAGGGTCCATTTTGAAATTCCGAGTCCCCTTGAGTCTGGGGGGCTCTTTTATTTTTTATTGTGAAAAGACCTCAAATGTGTTCAGGGACCTTTCCAGGCAACAAGGGGCATAACTCCCTATGGTTACCTGATCAGGTGAGCGGCTCTGCCCCATGGCTGCAGACGGTCTGGTTTGGATAATGTAGCCAACTAGTCCTGGTTGGGATGAGAGGAAGCAGGCATCAGCTACCACAGGTACCACAGGGGGCAACCCCAAGGGGGTCTGAAGCCCAGGAGCCTGGTGGTCCCGATGTCCTGACAGAGAGAGAGATAGAGAGAGAGAAACAGAGACAGAGAAAAAGACAGAAACAGAATCAGAGAAAGATAAGCTAGTGAAAGTACTGGGCTAGGAATAGGCAGTGAGGCTCATTCATTCATTCATCCATTCATTCACATGTATTTATTGAAGCTTACTCTTCTAGGTGTGGGGAAAATTAAGGATGAATTGAGCCAGACTGCACAAGGAGAGAGACCAAGTGAAGAGGCTAGGGGTGGGGAGAGGGAGCCTCAGGACTTGTGCCCATCTTAGCTCCTACTCATTGCAGGACAGACCTGCTCCACCTCCTTCTCGTTTAGCTCTGTGACTGTGGCCAAGATACTTACCCTCTCTGAGCCTCAATTTGCTCAGTTGTAAAACGATTATAAAATTAGTACCTACCTCATAAAATGACACTGAATATTAAATACTACGGGCAGGCAAAGCAAGGGGGATCTCACCTGGAGGCCAGGAGGGTCCTTGATGGAAGAAACCATGGTCCTCCAATCTTGGTGTGCCCTGCTCCCCGGCCTCATGTAGCATAGGTCCTTGATCTGAATGCGGGCTCAGCAGACAAGAAGGATGGACTTACTATCGAGGGGGCTGTGAACTGAAGTTGTCCACACAGTCCAAGGGGAAGTCAGCGACAGACACAATGCCACTGACAGTCAGGAAAATGTCCCTCTGTGTGCCAGACTCACACCCCCAGCTTTACAATATCAGCTCTTTCAAGCCTCACAGCAACCTGGTGAGGTCAGAACTATTTTTCACCACCCAAATCATTTGCTTGACAGCTCACTGCCCTATGGCCACGTTGGCCTTCTGCCCTTGCAGTCACGGAGCTCTTTCCCACCTCAGGACATTTGCACATGCTCTGCCCCAGCCCCCTCCCCCACAGGATTCTCTTCTTCTGGCTCATTTGTATTCACCCTTCACTCAAGTGTCTCTTTCTCAGGGAGACTCCCCCAACCCTGATCTCCCCAACCTGGCAATACCTTCATTATGTGCTCCCCATTTTCCCACTGACAGCACTTGGGCCAGTTTTGAATTACACATTTATTCTTGAGGGTCTGTTTTATCCCATAGCGGCCCAAGAAGGTAGGGGCACTGTCTGACTTGTCCATCACCTCATCTCGAGGACTTAGGACAATGCCTGGAGCATGGTAGTTGCTCAGTAAAGGATGAATCCAAACTTACAGTGAGGAAATTGGGATTTGGAGAGGGGAAGAACTTTCCCCAAGGAAGTGGAGGAACCTGGTTTTAGACTCAGACTTGTCTGGTTCCAAAGCCAGTGCCCCGGTCCTCTGCTAGGTGTGTCCTCACAGACACAAGGCTGGGGTGTCCAGACTCAGGGGAGACCTATGAGATCCGCCCCATCCCACCCTCCCTTGCCCATGCCCCTTGGTCTTGCTGAGGGTGTTGATGGGCTACTCCAGACCCACCTGGGGGCCATCCTGTCCCTTTTCCTGAGATGTCTGGCCCAGGGAAACAGGTTGGGCAAGGTGGGGTCAGAGATGAGGGAGGCTGACAGAACCCTGGCGGGAGCAAGTGATTTCTTCTTCTAGGGTGTGTGACGTAGCTCGCTCTCCTATCCTCTTGGGGCTCAGGAGCTGCCCTGTGAGTCCACCTCCAACACCCACCATGGGAAAACTCCGGAGCGTGAATGAAGAACAGCGCACGCGCAGCTCAGGAAGCCCTGGTGCCTGAGACCCGGGGAGCGTCAGCTGCCTCTGCAGCCCCATGGCGAGGCCGCGGCCCGCACCACAGTGCCAGCATCTGCGTGCGGCTGTGCCCTTGGAGCGCTGAGCGGTGGGAGGGAAGGGGCTGCAAGGACTCAGGCATACAAAGGAATGGGGAAGGAACCACGGAGTTCCACCTGCAAGGTGTCCCCAAAGGCAGAGAGATGGGGACTTAGGGGACAGGGCCAGCCTTCCACTGGCCATGGGAGCCCCACCGCTGGCCTCCCACCTCTCAGCTGCTCCCCCCGACTTGCTGTCTGTCATTGAGTCCAGGTGGGGCTGAGGGAGGGCCCTGAGTCATCACGTAGCTGGCTGCTGGGGGCGGGAGGGCAGGCGTGGCGCGTGGGTCCGCCCCAACATTAGGCACCTAAGCAGGGCCCAGGCGCCTGCACCTCCTGTCAGCACTGATTCTTTACTCACACCTTCGGCGCCTGCCACCACCCTGCCCAGCCAGACTCCCCACCTTCACTGTTCTCCCTGCCTCTCTCCATCCTTCTGACTCTGCACAAGAAGTGGAGTGGACTTTCCAACCCATGTCTGAGCATCACTGACTTTCCTTCACCCCAAAGTTAGGATCCACCATCCTGGCATTGAAGGTCCATCTTGCTTTTTCACTCCAGCCCTATCTCATGCCATTCCCCAGACCCCTAACTAAATCATACCATGCCCCCATACAACCTGCATACCTCGGAGAATGCTCACGTTTACAGCTCCCTCCAGTTGAAGTGTTCCTCTATGTCTTTTCTACCCAGAGAACTCCTACTCCTCTTTGGAGACCCATCTATGCGCCCCTCCTCTGAGAAGCCTGCCTGAGTCTCTCCCTCTGGCTTTGCATTTTGCTCTGTTACACTTTCCACATTGTGTCTTGGTACCCCCCACAACCCGCCCTACGTTGACAGTATGAGCTCCTCTACACCTGTGCCACTTGTCCCTGTGCCCAACTGTGTCTGGTTGAAGGAAGATCCCAACACGAATGGGATGAAGGAAGATAACTGGTCATTCCAGGTAGGAGATGCTAAGTACTGAAAAAAGAGCTACAGGTAAGAAGAGAGAGGCTGGGGTGGTCAACAATGACTTCTAGGAGGTGCCCGGGTGGATAGATCTGGGTGCCCGAGCTGGATGGAGGAGAGGTTAGGCAGAACGGGGGCGAGCAGGCGAGGGGACAGCCTGCAAAGTGGCGCCTCTGGGACACTGCATGTATATTCCCTGCCAATGCATTCATGGCTGGGGAGCCTAAGCACCAAGGCCTGTCTGTATCAGGGCATCTGAGACCTGCCTGGCTGACCAGAAGCTCCCTGCTGGGCACCCCGGCTCAGCTGGCTCTCATGAAACATGGCCCATTTCCAGCCCTGGTTCCAAGCCCATCAGTCACTGCCTTCAGCCATCTCTTTGACTTCCCACCTTACAGGCTTGTCCTAACTCATTCATCTCAGAGCAGCAGACCCCAATCCTCAGAATTCCACTGCAGCTGCCTGCAAAGGCTGACTTCCTGTGGGGACCTCTCCCCATGTCCACCTCTTGGGACCCGTGAGATGAGGACTTAACAGTTTATGTGCTCTGGGTTGGCTGTCAAACCTGGTTGTCCCCTGAATTTTGGACTTATCTGGCTGATTCTCTGCCCCGCATGGAGGGAACCTTGGTCACAGCCAGCTCCCTTCCCTTCTTTATGAGCTAAGAGGGCCTAGGCCTTCCTCCCCAATCTGGCCATCCCTGCACATCTGCTCCAGTGCCTGCTGCTTAACCTCAAGGCTGACTCTGCTCACACCAACCGGCCCTCCTCAGGGGATTGGGGGAGCGTTGGGCTGGAGAGAGAAGGAGCTGCCTCCCAGCCCCACCCTCCCCAATCCTGGGGCCTTGGCCTTAGTTTCCTCATGAGAAGCCCCTTCGGGAAGAGATGTCAGGGGCCATAAAGACAGTGTGTGTCAGCCCTACCTGGAGGGGCCCCTTGATAAATGCCTACTCTTCCCCATGTTCAGCCCTGCTCCCCAGATCTGTCAATCCTCCAATACAAAGAGGAGCTGGCAGTGCTGGACAGCTCCTGCGGCCTGGCTCACCAGGATATGCTCGGACTTTCTGCCAGGGACAGGGGCTTGTAAATTTCAGGAGGGCAGGATTAGTCACACATCTCAGCATCCTTCCCAGGGCTCCACATGGGCTAGGCCCCTGGAAAAGGTCAACGCCATACCCACTGCTGGGCTCTGCTGAAGAACCAAGACAGTTGAGCCACTTGCCTTTCTGCCTGAAGGTCAGCTAATACTAGCGTTACTTCGTTTATTCAGTCTACTCTCTCCAGAATCCTTCTCCTTCATGTGAACTCTGCTTGCTGTTTCAGAAAGCTGGGGGTGTGTTGCTTTGTAAGTGTCTCAGTCTTTCTGCCACGCCACTCATCCTTTCCATCAGACTGGAGACTCTGAGAGCAAGGACTGGGCTCCCCATCAGACTGGGCTCTGTGAGTCCAGGGGCCAGTCTCCCTACCCACCCAGGCAGCTCCCCCATCCTCTATCATAACTCCTTGGTACTCCAGTCCTAGCTCACCCACAGTGGGCCCCAAGTGGGAGTGGAGAGGGGTGCAGACAGTAATGATCCTCAAAGGAGGAGGTGACTCTGCTCCTGGGAGTTTCTGTCTCAGAGGGGCTAAATCTCAGATCTACTGTCAGGGCAGTGGACACCAAACTCCAGGATCTAGGTCACCCCTTTGGCAGCAGAGCTGATTTATGGTGCTCTTGACAGCCAAATATCATTAAATTACTTCACACAATGGAGAGAGGCTGGCTGCCTCCAGGCTGTCACCAAAGGACGCTGAGCCTGGGGCAGCTTGGAGAAGCCCAGACACCTCCCGTATCTCAGATCTCCTTAGAGTCTGTCTCAGGGAGACCAGGGCAGACAGAGGGCACACCCAGGCGTGCCACCATCAGCTGGGGGTATAAGTAGACGTCCTCGGGTTTAGCTCCACAGCCTGCACTCCGGAGCTGGCAGCACTCCTACAACTGCTCCCACCCACGAACAGAGGATATTGCCATGAGTTGCAGACAGTTCTCATCGCCCTGCAGCGGCTGGAGCAGCGGGGGCCGCGGTGGCAGCATTAGGTTGTCTGTCAGCCGCTTCAGCTCCTTGGGGGCTGGGGGAGGAGGGGGCCGGTTCAGCTCTACCAGCAGCTATGGTGGGGGGAGCTCCGTGGCCTGTGGGAGGGGAGGTGGCGGCAGTTTCGTCTCCAGCTTTGGCCAAGGATCTGCGGGTGGCTTTAGTGGTGGTAGTTTTGGTAGTAGCTTTGGCGGAGGCTTTGGGGGCTTTGGGGCTGGCTTTGGTGGCGGTGTTGGAGATGGTGGCATTCTGCCTGCGAATGAGAAGGCCACCATGCAGGAACTCAATAGCCGGCTGGCCTCCTACATGGAAAATGTGCAGAGACTAGAGAAGGCCAACAGCGACCTGGAGAATAAGATCAGGGAGTGGTATGACAGGCAGAGGCCCAGGACCATCCAAAAGGATTACTCTCGCTACTATGACACTATCGAGGATCTCAAGAAGCAGGTAGGCCGGGGAAACGCAGATCTCTGCCTGTCTGTCTCTCACACGCATGCGCACACACTCCCACACTCACTCCTGCCCTTTGTCTTCCCCAAAGGCAAGATGCTGGGTTCTAAGCTCAAGCAGTAGCCAGACCGTTCATCTTTTTGAAACTTTAAACTTTTATCAGAAACAACTCTTGGCCTGGCCCAGGTGGGGAAAGCAGAGCCAGTGTGGAGGGAGCACAGCAATGGGGCTTCCCCCATCC